GGATGTAGCTCAGGGAGTGGAGGCTTGTCTAGTGCATGGGGTGCTGGGTTCCATCCCTAGCAGTGATAAAAAGAGCAGATTAATTCAGCATTCCCCCTGACACTGATCTCAGTACTTACAGACTCATTGTATTGTACATCCAAAAATATGTTGTACCGATAATCTCACGCAGGTACCTGGGTTGACAGGAAGGGCTTTTTTTCAAGTCACTTAATAGAAAGGTCTCAAATAATAACACAGTTGCCGCACTGAGAGGCCTCGAAAGCACTCATGAGTGGGGCGGGCAGCTGAGTGTCACGGGGCAGACTGGTTGGCAGTCAGGGTTTCCGCCCTGGAGTTTAAAAATCCCATTGGTGGGGGTAGGGGTGAGGTCCCCTGGCCGGCAGAGCCATAGAGAGGTGTCAGGATGACCTCATCTCCAGCCCAGGGCGGCAGGAAGGTTGGTCACAGAAGGAAACCAGCTTGTCCCCAGATTTATGTTGAACACAGTAAGTTTGGCTGACTGGCATGGCTTTGTTGGAAATATTGAAAACTGGCGTTTTGATTTCTGCGTGGCCGCATCTGCCAGGCCCTCCTGCCGCCGGAGCTAGCATCTGCATCGGGGCTAGCGGGGAATTAGATCATATGTTTCCATGATGTGGGTTTATGGTGCCTGGTCACTGTCCCCCAAGGGAGGCTCGGCACATCGTGCTGCTTGTGCACAGATGCCGCTGTCGCTGGGCACTGTGGAACTGTACTTGCATGGCAGAGCGACACAGCCCTCCTCGGCTGGATGATTGCAGCAGGCGCATGTGCACACTCAGGGCGCTGCCGGCCAGGACACAGCAGCGAGGCCCCTCCCACGTGGGGAGGAAGCAGGACAAAGCACTTTAAGACCTGGGTTTTAAGCCCATTAAAAATAAGAAAGGCATGCCTGTCACCCAGCTACTCAGGAGGCTGAGGCAGGAACATAGCCAGCTCGGGCAATTTAGCAAGACCCTATCTCAAAATAAAAGGGGCGAAGGGATGCAGCCAGTGGTAGAATGCTTGCCTAGCACATGTGCGGCCTTAGGCTCAATCTTCCTTTTGTTTTTTTGAGACAGGGTCTTGCTATGCCGTTCAGGCTGGCCTTGAGCTCACTTTGTAGCCCAGGCTGCCCTCGAACTCATAATGATCCTCCTGCCTCAGCCTCCCGAGTGCTGGGATTACAGGCGTGCACCACCACGCCCAGCTCAGGCTCAATCTTGAGTAGCTAAAAAGAAATAGTTCCAGAGCCTCTCTCTTCTCATCTGCACAGCATTCGGGGTGCCACCTCCCCAGCATTCTTCAGGTGGCAGCCTGGCCTGCATTTCTGGCGGCCAGGTGAGGAGCCAGCTTGCGTCCTCCCTACAGTCTGAAGATAGTGGGACATTGAGTGGCTCTGTATTACCTGCTCCTTTCTTTCCCCTGTGGCCTGGGAATGGGAGGCAAAGAGTTCATTATGCCTGGCATGCTCAGGATTCATACGTGTAAGAAATATTTATTGAGCACCTACTGAGGTACTCCAGCACTGTTCCAGGCACTGAGGCTAGCGCAGTGGAGCAGGGTCGGTAACCCTGGGCCTCGGAGCTCTGACATTCCAGGGCTCCAGGGCATCACGGCAAGGAGAGCCCATGAGTAGGGACGAGGGGGGCAGCAGCTGCATGGTTACAGGACACACAAGGTCCTGGACAGAGGAGGGGCCCCTGTGGCTGCAGCGGGGGTGGGAAGGATCCTTGGGAGAGAGGATGATCACCTGCCCAGGGAAGAGGTGACCAGGTCTGATCATAGATGCCCACAACAGAGTGCCAGGCTCTGCTGACAGGTTTCATACGGGAACTCAAGGAGTAGCCACAGTTAGTGCTCAAGAAACCAAAGGACAGATGAGGGGCCTCGGGAGGAGAGGAGGGCGCGGTGACTTCCGGAGCTGGGCTGTGGGGTGGCACTCAGGTGTCTGTTAGAAGTGACATCGGGGTAGACAGGTCTGGTTGCAGCGAGTCATGTCTGCCGGATGCCGGCCACTGTCTCCCACCTGGACTGTATTGGCTTTGTTATATCAGTGTAGTTGTTTCTTTAAAAAAAAAAGAAAAAATTTCTGCTTCTTTAAAGGAGAAAGTAGGAGCCCTAAGTAGAAAGAAATTAAACCAAATGATGACATCCAAGCTGATGCAGCCACCTGCCTGGTGCTCAGGCTGCAGCTGGTCCTTTCCTTGGAGTTCAGCAGACGGTGGGAACGGGAATCCTTTCCACACCACCGTTCTCCCGGGTGTCTAGTGCCGGGACTCTGAGTGCCCAGCTAGTCACCTCCGGGTCACCAAGGACGCGCCCGGGGCCTCACTGAAGCCCAGCCAAGAGCACAGGGCCTTCTGGGCAGTTCCTTGGGACACAGTCACTGCTCCTCGTGGTGGACCTGGACCATCTAATGAGCATGGAACTCAGTGTCCACCTCCTCTGTGGGACAGCCGAGTTCTGAGACCGCCCTCCTGGCCGTGTGGTGTGACGGGCACCTTAACAGCCCAAGTTCCAGTCCCTCTTCTGTAAAATGGACCCCTGGGAGAGTTAAGGGATACGTGTCTTGTACCCAGCAATAAGCATTCGGCTAACGACAGCATAACTGACTTGTGATACTGCCCTCCGCCCCAGGGATAAGTTGGAGCTGTCCTAACTGCCTAGCTCTATTAGGGAGGGGTAGCACCAGCCCTCTGCGGCCTGGCAGGGGCTGGGAGCTGGCGGGGTGTTGTGAAGCTGAGGGAGTGCTGGGGAGTGTGGCAGACCAGGGAGCACATGATTTGTTCAGTGCAAAGGCCAAATTGTAGAAGTCCGCTGCGCAGGGCACTGACACCCGTGCCCTGCCTGTGGCCGCACACCCGCTTGGGCTCCTGTGTTACGTGGCAACCCAGGAGGCTAAGACCGTCTCTCCTCTGTGACCTCAGCAGAAGTTTGTTGGGCACCCACTAGGTGCCAGGCGGCATGCTGGGGTGGAGGTGCAACAGTGAAGGAATTAGGCCGGCTCCCAGCTGCTGGAGCCATGCCAGGCACAAGGGACCTGCAGCCCGTGTGGTCTCTGAGCCTGTAGGCCAAGGCCACCCGTGGGGTGCGCCGGAGGGAACCGGCTTTGTGCCATGAACTGGGCAGAAATCTTCAAGTGCCTGGGCAGCAAAAACATCCATCATGAAGGCCACACGTCCTGAGAGTTCCCTGGGCCCGGGTGTAACTGGTGGGCAACTGCAGGGTTCCTGCCAGCAGTGAGGCTCCTCGGGAGGGGGGAGGGCTAGGTTTCTGGGGCCCTTTGACCAGCCAGCGCCAACCAGCTCAGCTACCAGGGAGGCACAGCAGGGCTCAGCAGCCTTGGGCCGTCCGTCCTCCAGACTTTACCAGGTCCAGCCGGCGCACACTCGTGCTTGGGGTGATTGCAGAAGAGACCGGGGCTCCTCCAGCTCTCAAGGTCCTGGGCCCGCTGTGGGGGGACTTGGACTAGAGTGAGAAGGGCGAGTGCTGCCTGCCAAGCAAGCCTCAGGAGGAGGACCCGACGGGCGCAGCGCAGGGGCAGGACCCTCGGGCAGGGGTGAGCCCGGGGCACCTGGGAGACAGGAGGGCAGCGTCGGCCAGCACGTGAGCACGAGGAGGTCAGAGGAAGGCGGGAAGGGGGCCGCAGGAAGGAACTCGGGCCTTACTCCGAGTGCAGTGGGAGGTACTGGATAGTTGTAAGCACCGAGGAGATATGAAGAGATAGGATCTGTGGGCCCCCGGGGAAGCTCCGGCTCTTTCCTTCCCTGGCTGGTAGCGATGGGGTGAAAGTCCTATAAATCTCCTTCCCATTCTTCGCCCCGAGGGACCGAGTGAGGTAGGCCCGTTAGTTGTTTTCCTGTCTCTAGGGAGTTGCTAGGTGATGGTGATCTCGGCTGTCAGACAAGAACGCCGCATGCCGGTGGATCTTGCATGGGTTTCCTACAGATCCAAACAAATTACTGCAAACCGGTGGCTTAAAAGAGGATTTTACTCCCACCACTCTGGAGGCCAGAAGTGCAAAGTGGAGGTGCCGGCAGGCTGTGCTCCCTCTGGAAGCCCCAGGGAGGGTCCTCCCTGCCTCCCCCAGCTCTCAGCACACCGTCCTGTCTGTAGCGGGAGGACGCTGAGAACTGCAAGGAAAAGGGGAAGCCACGCTGGCCCTAGAAGGGAGAGAAAGGGTCTCTGTGAAGCGTTTCACTAGATCTCAGCGTTTGCAGTTCATCTTTACAGGGCGCCAGACACAGCGCCCTTCTGTACACTGCCCTTCCTCTGTGGAGCGCCTCCTGCGCGCCACACACCGGCAGTGCCACCTGCAGCAGTCAGCAAAGCACAGGGCCTGCCTGCACAGCTCCTACACGCCTTCATCTGCTTCCTCCCTGGCGCCTCACCCGCTTCCAGCTTCCCTGGGAAGCAAGAACGGGCAAGAAGGAAACAGCTTCCTGGGGTGTACAGTTAAGTCCCAAGCCTGGTGCTGCAGGCAGGGGATGAGCGCCCAGGAGAGGCGGGAGCCAGGGCGACCCCAAGGGGCTCCGGGCAGAGGTGCAGCTTGACGAGGGGTGGGGAGTGGAAGTGGGTTCCGAGCGGGCCAAGGAGGTGGTGCGTCTGGTGCAGAGCGTTTCGGCTGAGAAAGACGCGGAGAGGGCTGCCCCGGGTGGCATGACCGGATTCCAGCAGGCGCGGACAGTTCTTGGGAAAGTTCCAAACAAAGCAAAGTGTAATCTTCCCTCCGTTTACATGGTGCTCGCTTTCCAAAAATATCAATGTATATTAACACCCTGCGAAAAGACATGCTGTTTATATTGTAAAACAGTTTGATTCTAGGCTCAGATCATTTAAAAACAGCTTTTTACCTACACCCACAGGAATGTTAGTGCGGCTCTGCAGGACTGTCCCCGACTACCCCCATCTGGCTGTCCAGCGGGCACAGGGTGAGGATGCAGGCCCCCGCAACCAGGCACAGCGCACGCCGTGTCACCTGCCCCGTGTCATTGCAGGCTCCATGCAGGTGATGAACAAGACGCGGCGCATCATGGAGCAGGGTGGGGCGCACTTCACCAACGCCTTCGTGACCACGCCCATGTGCTGCCCCTCGCGCTCTTCCATTCTCACCGGCAAGTATGTCCACAACCACAACACCTACACCAACAACGAGAACTGCTCCTCGCCCTCCTGGCAGGCGCAGCACGAGAGCCGCACCTTCGCCGTGTACCTCAACAGCACGGGCTACCGGACAGGTGAGTTGGGGCAGGGCCCCGGGAGGGACCGGCGACCTCGCTGAGTGCCCGCTGCCCAGGGTGTGGCCCACGCACTGCGGGTCCCCGAGATGGTCCTGGATCGTACACAGAACAGCTTTCCTTTCAAAGTTGGGTCTGCTTTGTTTTCTTTTTTTGTGGTGCTGGGAGTGGAGCCTGGGGCTGCGCACATGTCTAGGGGTGCAGTACCAGCCCTTTTCATTTCTGTGTGGAGAGAGCAGAAAATACAGATCTGTCTGCAGTAATGATCCGAAGTGACTTTCTCAAAGAAATTTGCATTCCAAAAGAGGGAGGGTCTATTTAAATAGAGATGAGGTTATGGGGAGGCCAAGGTAGCCATGCAGGAATTTGTGTTTTCTGCTACCTTAGTGAATCTAGGGAACTATTTTATTGACTCAGACCATCAGCATGAAGAAGGTTTTAGAACACTGAGGTGGGGGTTGGAGAGGAGCAGATCGGGGACCTGACCACCCGCCATGGGGATGACCGGGATGAGGCAGAGTCGCCGTGGCAATGGACCTCTTTCTCATGCATGCCAACCTGGGTGCAACACCCCCAGCCTTCCCGTTTGTCACCCTGCAGGGGTCGTGGGGTGGGTTCCCCAGGCTCCCCCATCAGGGCGGCTGCAGAGACAGAGATGCACTCGTAGTGGAGTCTCCTACTCCAGCACCATTGCAAAATCCTCCAGCTCAATTAATTCAAATTGTTTTAATTTTAAAAATAAATAAATAAATACTCCCCACCGTGGGCAAGGAGCTGGGGCAGCTGTGAAACCAGATTTTGAGGCTCAAATGTTGTAACCTGGGAGGTTACATCCAAGTGACAGGGCGTTGCTGGGGTGGGAGGGACGTGGGGAAGGACAGACGCCTCCTTCAGCTGAGCCTGCAGCCCTCGAGGCTCGCCACGTCCTGTCAGATGCCCAGCATGGGCTGGCAGGGCCCTCGGGAAGGGAACCGGCCGGGCCGGTGCTGTTGGTTTCCTGTACCCTCATCCCTCGGCCAGAATCGCCTCCAGAGTGGCCCCTGCTGCGGGAACTGGGAAGGGCTCGCTCCCTATGCAGGTGCGTAGTCTGGCCTGCCTGCTGCTGCCCTCTGGGTCGCTGTACACAGCCAGCTGTGTCCTTGGTGAACAGGGGACAGGTGGGGACCCAGTGAAGGCTCAAGCCCTGACTGAGGGAGTTGTTAACCTCCACATTATGTTTACATTTAAAATTTTAGCGGAAATATCCTAATGTTTTAAAATGTTGATAAAACTCAAGTTTTTTTTAAATTCCTGCTGTGGGCCAAAGAAAACATGCCAGAGGCAGGAGCGCCTCACACACCCCCTTTTCCATCTCTGGCTGAAAGGTACACCCCAAACCTCCCCCTTTAGATGCCAACGGAGCAGGAAGGCCCCTAAAACTGCATGGAGGGGACTGGAGATATAGCTCAGCGGCACAAGTGCCTGCCTGGCCAGCACAAGGTCCTGAGTTCGATTCCCAGTACCTAAAAAAAAAAGTTTGCACAGGGTATACGAATGGCCAGGGCAGCCGTACAGCACAGAGGGGCTGGGCCGCAAACTTGCACGTCTCCTGACGTCTGGGGGGACTTCGGGTGGGAGCCTGGTGTTTCACAATCGTACAGGTTGGACACAAGAAGGAAGGACCTCAGGAATAAAACTGGTTTCCCAGACTTTATCTTTGAATCACCAAATCACCAAAAAGCTGCAGACAACTGCTTTTACCCGTCTGTGCTTGATTTTACCCTCAGTGGAGACAGGAGCGTGGTATCAAACGTAAGCAGGCATCCGCAAGAACGTTTACATTTTCTGTCGGGTTGTCACTGAGCGTTGTATTCATTGTACATAGACTGTCTCTCTGTGCGGGGGGCTTTCTGGAGTTTTTAGAGCTCAGGACTCCAAAAAGGTCCGTTTACTCTGATGAACCGATGTGCTCCTGGTTATTAAGCAACAAGTATTACGAACCTTTTACGCTTTCCCTCTTACCCTGGCGGCTAGGAAGCTCCTATCTGAGTTTCATGTTATATTTAAAGTGAAAAGGTCTTAACTGCATGATATTAAGTGTCTACACTGCTCACTGTCTGTTGACTGAGAAAAATGATACCAAAAAAAACTACTATAAATTGAGCATCCCTTTTAGATTGATTTGACTTGGATGCCACATATTAGGTTATTTAGTGAATTTTTAACCCCCCAAGCACAGAAAGTCGTTTGCTTCTGCAGTCTTACACCATGTCACACCCCGTATCAGGGATGGTGAACCTTTTAGAGCTTTCACAGATGACAAACAGCCTGCTGCGGCGCTCGTGCCGTAAGCTCACCTGTGTCCGAGCAGGCCTCTGTTGAAGTTGATCACGTTGGATCTAAGTTTGGCTGTGTGTGAGACCCAAAATCCCTGCTGTATGTTCCTCTCGGTTAAAATCCCATGCTGCCCTGGGGCCCTGCCCCGTGAATTGGTCCAAGCCTCAGTCTCTGTTTCTCTGTACCTAAGTCACACGGCCCCCTCTGGCTGCAAAGAAGCCTGGGAAACATGGTCATTATTCTGGCGGTCATTTTCCCAGACAACATGATTTTTCTTTGAAAACAGAAGAAAATGGCTACTGAGGGAAAGTTAAAGTCTCAGCCACAGTGCCTGACCTCGGTCATCTATGCTTTTCCGCCCTTCGTACACAGGTGGGCGCCGGAACTGAGGGAGACCGGCACCAGAAAGATCGCACTTATGCGGACCAGGGTCTCAACAAACAGTGCTTTATAAAATGTGTCAGTTAGGTATTTTATCTTGAAAAGTGAAACTAGAACATCTTGGAAACAGCCTCATGTCAGGTCGCGCTGATGCTTAGCACAGGTTGGGCTCTAATTGTAACTAAGGGGTTGATGGAGGAAATAAATTGACGCTGTGTCAGCTGGGGTGGGTGTGATTTGTCCCGCAAACTTAAGTGATAGCACCACGGGTTACCCTTGCTTTCACCTGCCGTCTTCGCTGCACACCCGTGGCATCCTTGCCAAAGTACGTGATGAGCTCATCAGTCTTTCCCCGGGCCGTTCTTACTCCTTGACATCCACATCTCCCCGCCGTGAGGAGCTTGTTCCTTCCTCATCCTCTTGAATAGCCGCTCTCCACTTATCTCTGACACCGGATTATTATTAGGCAGAGGATTTGCATGTGTTTCGAGCTGTCCTCCAGCATCACTTTAATTAATTTCACAAAACCCTGCATCTTTTAAAAGATTAGCAATTTCATTTTGCAATCGTCTTGCTTGGCGCGCTCCCCGTGTTTGCAATAGAGATTGACAAGGGATGAAGGGAGAGACGCCGAGTTTAAGCAGGATAAACAGCAATTTGTTAATGGATATTTCTGGGTCTGGCTTCCTGCAACTTGGAGGACCTGCGTCGCACATAGGGACACCCGTGGGGGGATAAGAGACGTCCTCAGGTTTTATCAAATGTCCTTAGCCACCCTCAGCGCATTTCAGCGGCAGGTGAGGCCCCTGCTGCTCTGACTACACTGGGTGAACCCACCGTCAGAGTCCTGCGGGGTGCTCGGAAGGAGCCTGCTCCCTGCTCTTGGCAGGGTCTTTCACTGAGTTCAAAGCCGGGCTCTGCCACTTTGCGGCTGTGAGGGCTTAGCTGGCTCATTTAACTTCTACATCTCGGTTACCTCCGTCACCGGGGATGTTACTTAGCTCAGAGGGTTTTGTGAAGGTTCATGTGTCACGGGGGTGCCTGGTACGATGATGATGACGATGATGATGATGACGATGACGATGATGATGATGATGACGACCACAGGGAGCGCTGCGTCCCACAGACCGCCTCCGGCACAGTGAGCTGCAGGGGTAAGCAAAGCGTGGGGGCATGGGCTGCTCCGCGCAGTGGTCAGTGAGCTGCAGATGGAGCCAAGAACGGCTGTCACGTCTTACCCACTTCCACCGCATCCAGTCACACCCAGCGTGGGTGAGGGTGTGGGGACAGGAAGTCACACACACCATGGGAACGCAGGTCGGCCGTGCCCTTGGACGAGCACTCTGCTCGTTTCTGGCAGAGCCGGAAGTGTGCATCCTTCCACTCAGCAGTTCCGCTTGGGCTCTGCACCCGTGGTTCTGAGGCGGGGCCGTGTGGATTCTGATGGCCCCGGGGCCAGGGCACTTCCTGGCTGTGTCTACTGCTCCTGAGGACCGGTGATGCTGGTGACCCATGGACCATGCGACAGAAACCCCAGCTGTAACTGGTTCTGGCAAACTATAGACGTTTGTGTTAAAAACCCCAAGTGTTAAAGGTACAGGCGAGCTTTAGGCAGAGTCACACCCTTTGGTTTAGGAGTATCGAGACTTCATCCTAAAACTGGAGGCCTCAGATATGAGCACCCTTGGGAGGATAAATGTCCAGGGGTAGCACAAGGGCCCAAGATGGCGGCTGGCACTTCCGGTTCCATGCCTCCTCATTCATGTTCAGCAAGAGCAGGAGAGCATCTGTCCCCAGAGTGTGAAAGTTATTCTCCTTCAGTCACTCCACTCCGACCACAGCGGCTCTCCTTGCCGCTTTAACCGTCTGTGACATGCGGCACCCACCCACCTCAGGGCCAGCATGGTTTTCCTTCTCTGGAACCTGCCTCTATCTTCTGCACGGCCTGCTCACGGTCTGTCCTCGGGGCTGTGTGCCAGTGTCACCACCCAGGGAAGCCTTCCTGAGCACCCCAGTGGGCCCTTCACCTCCTCATCTTTCTTGTCCCGCAGAGCTCCTGGCCCCGCCTGAGTGTGTGCTTATTGTCCGCCTCCCACCCTCAGTGACATCTCCCACCCGGGTTCTTGCTCCCTCCGGCTTCCCTGACCCTTTCCCCCCGCGGCTGTGTCTTCCACCCTCTTAGCCCCGCGGCTGTCTCGTTTCTGAACCGCCAGCTCCAGGGAAGGAGGGGCTGCACGTTCTGTCCCCTCCTGAGTCCCTGAGCAGAGAACAGTGCTTGCCCGTCCCTGGGGCTCAGTAGGTCT